TTACAAAGTGAAAAATAGTTAAAAATAGTTCCTATATAGTCTTTACAAATAAATGTCATGACCAAATAACTGCTCCATAGTGACAGATAAGGAAGCACAATTAGAATACAGTGTTTCTAGAAGATGAACTGTCATTTTACAGATTTTAAAATATTAATTATCCTTACAATTAATAAATTTAAATAAGGGTTTTTTGTTTACATTTGTATTACCATGTCAGCCATGTCATGTAGTGGTCATAATATTAATGGTTAAACAGTGTCTAGAGTTTCATAAAAATATTGATGTCTCATTAGCTTTATAGGGAACAGCCGCAAGGTGAATGTTAAGACTCGCCTAAGAGATTTGCCTTGACATTGGCAGGTGAGCTTACACTTCAATGGCCACTGCATTGTGTTACTTAAATGTTCATAGGGATGCAGGAAGGTGCACAGGTACGGCTAAATACTATAACCATTGCTACCACCCCAAAGTAATGGGAGTTTGAACACAAGCCTTTTTCAGTGTGTTATTAACCCCTTAAGGACGCAGGACGGTTCAGGACCGTCCTCGGCATTTTTGCGTTGCCGACCGAGGACGGTCCTGAACCGTCCTAACGGAAAACGGGCGGCGGGAGCGATCAGAGATCGCTTCCTCCGAAATCCCGTTGTTACTATCTGCCCGGCATCCCAGGCAGATAGTAACAGCCAATTACGGCGTGTGAGCGATCCGCGATCGCTCACAATTGGCTGGTGTCAAAGTGGGTGTTAGAAACACTCACTTTGACACTGATCTCTGCCTCTCTCCTCTCTGTAGCGTTTTGTGAGAGGAGAGAGACAGAGATCCTGATATATTGTTGCAGCAGCTGTTCCTGAGAAAATTCTAAAGTATCACCAGTGAATAAAAATCCCATTTTAACCCCTTCCCTGCCAGATCTGTTACAGACAGTGCATTTTTACTGTCTGTATTTTTTTTTTGCCCTTAAGGGTTAACTTTATTTTAAAAAAATCTGTGTCTTAGACTGTCGTAGTCTGTCGTATTCTGTTTTAGTCTGTTTTAGTCTGTCATAGTCTGTCATAGCCTGTCGTAGTCAGTCAGTTTCCTTCCCCCAAATCTCCATTAGATTCTTCTAACAGGAGTTAGTTTAGGGATTACTGTTTTAGTCTGTTTTAGTGTTTTAAAAAAAAAAAAAAATATTGTGTTTAGTATTTTGTTAGTTTAGTCTGTTGGTGTGAAACATGCAGTGCATGTACAGCTTGGAGGAGGCATATGCCTTCTTGGCGTCAGACTCTGACGCCACTGACACTGCGTCCGATTTTGACCCAGGTCAGTTTAGCGGCACGTCTAGTGACATGTCATCTGTGAGTGAGCCAGCTGCTAAAAGAAGCTGTGCTTCCCCTGCTACGCTGAATGTGGAGGAGGACTGGGTACCTCCACAGTTAGCTGAGCCCAACATCCCCCCTTTTAGTGCCAACGCAGGCATTAATGTGAATGTGGTTGACTTCTCCCCTATACAATATATGGAGTTATTTTTAGGGGATACCATCTGGGAGGAGATTGCTTCCCAGACTAATTTATACGCTAGCCAATTTATTGAGACCAATCCAGGTAGCTATACAGTCAGGGAGCATGCTTGGCATCCCACAGATGTCCCTGAACTTAAAACATTCTGGGCTCTTACCATGCTCATGGGGATAATAAAAAAGCCATCAATCCGGTCTTACTGGAGCACCAACCCAATTTGTTCGACTCCTATATTCTCCCAAACAATGCCTAGACCAAGATATGAGTTGCTGCTCAGATACTTACATTTTAACGACAATACGCTCTGTCACCCCAGAGATCACCCCCAATATGATAGGCTTCATAAAATACGCCCACTGGTAGACCATCTTCAGAACAGATTTTCTGAAGTTTATACTCCCCAACAAACTTTATCCATCGATGAATCCCTTATGAAATACAAAGGGAGATTAGGGTTCAAACAATATATCCCCTCAAAGCGGTCTAGGTATGGCATTAAAGTGTACAAACTTTGCGAGAGCGAAAGTGGCTACACATTTGCCTTTCGTGTATACGAGGGGAAAGATGCTCAACTGAACCCTCCTGGCTGTCCTGACTCTCTGGGGACAACTGGGAAACTTGTTTGGGACCTACTGAACCCTTTGTTCAATAAGGGTTACCACCTTTATGTGGACAATTTTTACAGCAGTGTCCACTTGTTTAAAATTCTTTATAGTTTACAGACACTGGCCTGCGGCACTGTAAGAAGAAATGCCAAGGATTTTCCCAGACCTCTCATAGAGGCCAAATTAAAAAAAGGGGAATGCAAAGCTCTGCGCAAGGCTGAACTGCTTGCGCTAAAATTTAAGGACAGGAAGGATGTTCACATGCTAACAACCATCCATAACGAGGGCATGTCAGACGTCACTGTCCGAGGCAGGGTACAGACAAAACCGGTGTGCATCAGGGCTTATAACAGGCACATGGAGGGTGTTGATTTGGCTGATCAGCTGATGCAGCCATATCTTATCTTAAGAAAGACAAAAGCCTGGTATAAAAAGGTGGCTATCTACCTGATGCAAGTAGCAACACATAATTAATTTTTACTCTTTAAAAAAAAATGAATCCAGAAAGAACCACCTTTCTCCAATTTTAGTTCAAGCTGATTTCCACAATAATTTATGGAGATGGTCAAGTTCCAACAACGGTGCCAAAGGAGTCCAGACATTTTATTTTTAAGATACCGCCAACTGCAAAAAAAAACCAAATCCCCTGAAATGTTGCTGGGTCTGTTATAAAAAAGGAAAAGGACAGACACCCCTTTGCACTGTTTTTTTTTCTTTTGAAAGCAGCAAATTTTAGTTAGTCAGTTTCCTTCCCCCCAAATCTCCAATTAGATTCTTTTTGCAGGAGTTAGTTTAGAGAATGCTGCTAAAGGTGCATTTGATACCTGCACATTTGGTTAAAAAAGTTTTATGGTAGTAACATATAACTGGCTGGCCAAAACCAGATGACGTGTGCATAAAAAGCAGAATTAAAAAATTACCACCATGCACGTTCTCTGAAATTTGTTTAGCACAATGGTTGGGGGAAGGATGTGAAAACACCTCATATACAATACTCTGGAATGTCTACTTTATAAAAATATAAACTTTCATGATGTTAACATTAACGGGGGGATGCAAAAATATGCCAAACTGAAGATAGGCCAAGCATACCTATATATCAAGTTGAAAAACTGATATGTACAAGTCTTGAATGTGGCCTTTTAGCCCCCAAACAACCCAGCAAACCTATGCATGGGTGATGTCACTGTACTCAGGAGATGTTGCTGAACACATATTGGGGTGTTGTTTGGCAGTGATACATAACAGGATCTGTTAATTCATGCCTAAAGTACAATGTATGTGTAAAAAAACATGAAGAAAATTACTACCCAAAAGTTTGCCAAAGGCTGGTGGTAGAATTATTGCATGAAAAGTATTAAACTACCACCATTTAAAATACCCTGAGTTGTCTACTTTTCAAAAATATATGGTTTGATGGGGGTAAAATACATTGGCCCAAATAGGACAGGGGCGCTGGTTTACTACATGTCAAAATTCCAAGTTGAAAAATGGATATGCGCACCTGCCAAATGTGGCCTTTTAGCCCCCAAACAATCCGACAAGCCTATGCATGGGTGGTATCACTGTACTCAGGAGATGTTGCTGAACACATATTGGCGTGTTGTTTGGCAGTGACACATAACACGATTTGTTAATTCATGCCTAAAGTACAATGTGTGTGAAAAAAAACACACAAAAAATGACTACCTAAATGTTTGACAAAGTCTGGTGGTAGAATTAGTGCATGGAAGGTGTTAAAAAACCACCATTTGAAATACCCTAGGGTGTCTACTTTCCAAAAATATATGGTTTGGTGGGGGTAAAATACATTGGCCGGCCTTACAAATGTCCCAAATAGGACATGTGCGCAGGTTGACTACATGTCAAAATTCCAAGTTGAAAAATGGATATGCGCACCTGCCAAATGTGGCCTTTTAGCCCCCAAACAATCCGACAAGCCTATGCATGGGTGGTATCACTGTACTCAGGAGATGTTGCTGAACACATATTGGCGTGTTGTTTGGCAGTGACACATAACACGATTTGTTAATTCATGCCTAAATTACAATGTGTGTGAAAAAAAACACACAAAAATGACTACCTAAATGTTTGACAATGTCTGGTGGTAGAATTAGTGCATGGAAAGTGTTAAAAAACCACCATTTGAAATACCCTAGGGTGTCTACTTTCCAAAAATATATGGTTTGGTGGGGGTAAAATACATTGGCCGGCCTTACAAATGTCCCAAATAGGACATGTGCGCAGGTTGACTACATGTCAAAATTCCAAGTTGAAAAATGGATATGCGCACCTGCCAAATGTGGCCTTTTAGCCCCCAAACAATCCGACAAGCCTATGCATGAGTGGTATCACTGTACTCGGGAGATATTGCTGAACATATATTAGTGTGTTTTTTTGGCAGCAAGACATAACAGTATCTGTAAGTTTATACCTGAATTGCAATGTATGTGAAAAAAAACAAAAAAAAAACAACTATCTATGCAAAGTTTGGCAAGGACTTGTGGTAAAATGGCTGCATAGAAAGTGTCAAAATATCCTTAGATGAATACCCTGGGTTGTCTACTTTAAAAAAAATATATACATGTGGAGTGTTTTCCAGAGATTTATGACAGATAATAGTGTTACAATGTCACTATTGATACATTTAAAAAAAATTTGTTTTGAAACCGCCATATCCTACTTGTACCTATAGCCCTATAACTTGCAAAAAAAAGCAAAAAAGCATGTAAACACTGGGTATTTTTAAACTCAGGACAAAATTTTGAATCTATTTAGCTGTTTTTTTCATTCGCTTTTGTAGATGAGTAAAAGATTTTTCAAGTAAAAGTCAAAAAACATGTATTTTTTTCAATTTTTCATCATTTTTTTATTTTTTTTAAATTAAAATACATGAGATTATATAAATAATGGTATGTAAAGAAAGCCCCTTTTGTCCTGAAAAAAACAATATATAATTTGTATGGGAACAGTAAATGAGAGAGCGGAAAATTACAGCTAAACACAAACACCAGAAAAGTGTAAAAATATTCCTGGTTGCAAATGTACATCGCAAAAACAGTCCAGTCCTTAAGGGGTTAAAACTAAAATAATAAACTATACTAACACCTTTTGTAAATAAGGAAAAATACAAAGTTTTCTTTATTGCAGCGAAGCTTGAGATAGCATGCCAAAAACAATATATACATATATTTAATAAAGTACAATCTGAATAATTTTATTTTGGTAAACCTTTCCTCAGCAGTTTTTCTTGTTTCTCTCTTTTGTTTTAATTTCAAATGTGGCACAGACTTTTGAAGAAGCGTGAATTGTAGCACTCTTTATTTTATGTTGAATAGATAGAGATCCGTAGTAGTTTTCTGACTGATCTTCCCATTCCCGCATTTCTTCTTCTCTTATGGTTAAAGCCTTTCCAAGTGAATGGCCAACCAAATGACAGATTTCCTGAGCTTTGCGTCTTGCATTACCAACGGCACCAATGCAAACCTCACGTCTAGAACAAAAAGTTAACATTTAAACAAATGTATTAAAATCTTCTTTTCAGCTGTCTGCAATTGCTGCAAATAAAATTTCCTTTAGGATACAGAGCTGTAGAAAAAATACAGACCAGAACTCATGCTTAAGTCTAAACCGATGAATAGAATATATCTATTTTCTAGAGCAGGAATAGGCAACCTTTGGTACTGCAGAGGTTTTGGACTACACCTCCCACGATGCTTTGCCAGCATTATGGCTGTAAGAGCATTGTGTGAGATGTAGTCCACGGCATCTGAAATGCTGAAGGTTGCCTACCCCTGTTCTAGAGTTTACTGGAACCTTACTTTTGTTGATTCACACAAATACTTTATTAAAATAAAAATCTAAATTTAAAGTAATATGAAGACTTTCAACTTAGTACAGTTAGTCTTGGCGCCTAGATGTAGTCCCAGCACTGAGAAATGTAAGTTGTCATTTGGGAGAAAGGGCAATGTTTACGTTAGTCAGTCAGCATGCTTCTAGTGATTTCAAAGTGAAGAATGTACAGTCTTTACGTTCAGTGTCATGATTATATTGAACACAGTTAAAGAAACTCTGAGCACCATAACTACTACAGGGTGCTGTAGTGGTTAAGTTTCCAGGAGTGCCCTGGTGTTCGCTCCTACACTCATTCTAATTAGACAAACTGTAGCTCAGGAAAACCAAGGGAGGCTCCGGATCTCAGAAGTAGAAGGAAAGTGGTTACCACCAGGCAAGAATTTAAATTGTTCACAAATATATCTATGTATAACCTTAGTGTTCCTTTAAGACAAAATGCAACAGAATTTAAGAAGCAAAATGCCATTAACTGTATGAGAATGTTTCTAGTTAATATAGCCAGGGCTGTGGAGTCAGTACACAAAACATCCTTGTATTAGATACAGTGCGACCAAAATTGTGGAAACATTTTAATTGCTCATAAGTCACTTTTTTTTTTTTTTTTTTAAATGCCATAAAATTACATATCACTATTAATATAATTCCATGCAGAATGTAATTTAACAAATGTGTTGAATTATCTTGAATTTCCCATTTCAAGGAAAATAAGCCTGCATATTTAAACAGAATTCAGCCTCTTGTCATGTTGCTGCTCTGTGCAAAAAGTGGTTTCTGTAAAATATTACACTGCTAGAACGGCCAGGTAATGACATATGAATCCAACATAAATCTTTGGAGCTGTGTGTGTGCAAGTCCGCAGGCCTAGACTAGAATCAAAAACTATACATTTTACAGGTTGACTTCTGTGGCGACAATAGGCTTATACCTATACAAGATCTCTAATTGTAGGGGATCAACCCAGCATATACTCTACAGTAAGTTGGAGTAGGTACAGTTTTATCAATTTCGACTACACAAACCTTAAATTGCTACCGAATTCACAGCCCTGACTATAGCAGGTAACATTCTACAAAATATAGTGTATGAAAATAAAGTAAAACTAGAGGTTGTTTCCATTCATACATTTTCATGAGAAATGTTAAAATTTCCTGGTGCAAACAGTGACTCAGTCCTGAATATGTACTTGCAGAATTGTCATTAGGATGTTTTCTCCTCTGTGGTTTAGTCAAAATAAATTAAGTTGTATGGTTAAAACCAAGCAGCTTGGGATGGGTAAATATTGAAAAATCAATCATATGGGCAGAGTTTCAGTGAAGGGCGGGATGTCACTGAGCCTCCAGTACTAGTCAGCCTAGGTAGGAAGGCTGGACATCACTACACCATGCCTTTGTGGACTGTTTGTGACAACTTCCACCTTAATTTCTATTTTGGATGGTAAAAAGGAGATTGTGAATCAGTTTATGGCTTTATTTATCTTGTTTATTTGCACTGCAGTTTGAAACTGAAAATTTCTCCAGTACCGCTATTTTGTCATAAAATGTATTTTCAATTAATTGTTTGGAAATAAAACCCCTGCATAACACACAGTCATGTTGTACTTTTCAGTGAAAATAGCTAAGAAGAGCTGATTTTTTTTCACCAGATAAGCATTTTTACCTACAATTTTGCAGTTTTGTTTTCAATTATCTACAATTCTCTAATAAACACCGTCCATCCCTCCCCTTCCTCTTGTGTTCTGTTTAATACCTTAATTTTTCCAAGCACTGTGGAGAGTGATAAAACTGTACAGGCGATATGGCAATTGAATTTTCCAGCTTTTCAACCAATGTGTTACAGACGCTCTGCAATTTTTCAAAATTCAAGAATATGGCAAAAACCTAGAATGGATATAACAATGTTAATAACTTATGGCAAACAAATAATGCAGTATTATATTTACACACACACACACAAAAGACACCTAAGCATATGTTAAATATTGTGCATTTTAATATAAAATGATTTAACCATTGAGATTTCACTAACCTCAAAATTGGTCTAGATTAAGATTTTTGTTCTTGGGTAGAACATTGGCTTAAGGATAGAGTACAACGAGTTGTAATTAATGGTAAATTTTCAGGCTGGACAAAAGTGGTAAGTGGTGTCCCTCAGGGTTCTGTTTTGGGATCACTTCTATTTAACATATTTATAAATGATCTTGAAATAGGCATTGAAAGCCATGTATCAGTGTTTGCAGATGACAAAACTTTGTAAAGTAATAAAATGTGAGCAGGATATTGCTTTGCTGCAGAGGGATTTGGATAGATTGGGGGAATGGGCACTAAAATGGCAGATGAAATTTAACGTAGAGAAATGCAAAGTTATGCACTTCGGGGTTAAGAATGCACAAGCAACTTACACACTAAATAGTAGTGAATTAGGGATAACCACACACAAGAAGGATTTGGGAATTGTTATAGATAACAAATTAGGCAGCAATATGCAATGTCAATCTGCAGTTGCTAAGGCCAGTAAGGTTTTGTCATGTATAAATAGAGGCATAAATTCCCGGGATGAAAATATAATTTTGCCTCTTTATAAATCGCTGGTAAGACCACACCTTGAATATGCTGTGCAATTTTGGGCGCCTGTTCTAAAGAAAGATGATATGGCACTAGAAAAAGTCCAGAGACGAGCTACAAAATTGATAAAAGGAATGGAGCATTTTCGTTATGAAGAAAGGTTAAAAAAATTAAATCTGTTTAGTTTGGAAAAACAGCGCCTGAGAGGGGATATGATAACATTATACAAATCTATTCGGGGCCAGTTCAAACCTTTATCTGGAAATCTATTCATAAACAGGGCTATACATAGGACACAAGGTCACACATTTAGGCTGGAAGAAATGAGATTTCATCTAAGGCAAAGAAAAGGTTTTTTTACAGTAAGAGCAATAAGGATATGGAATTTTCTGCCTGAAGAGGTGGTTTTGTCAGAGTCACTACAGAGGTTTAAACTGCAATTGGATAAATACTTACAAAAACATAACCTACAGGGATATAATTTCTAATTAGTGGGGTAATAGCTACTTGATCCAAGGAGACATCTGACTGCTATTTTGGGGTAAAGAAGGAATTTTTTTCCTAGTTTGTGGCAAAATTGGAAGTGCTTCAGACCAGGTTTTTTGCCTTCTTTTGGATCAACAGCAACAACATATGTGAGGAAGGCTGAACTTGATGGATGCAAGTCTCTTCATCTATGTAACTATGTAACCTAGTATGTCATGGGATATACAGGCTATGACCTGTTTCACCAGCCACATACAGTAATAAGTTACAAAAAGACTTCAGCCTATCAAATTCAGCCTTTCACACGTTTTTGCCGTCAATCCAAAAGAAGGCAATCAATTTGAAGCAATTTCCAATTTTATCACAAAATAAGAAATCTCTAATTCCTTGCTTTATTTAATGTTTCTTCATTCAATTGGTTCCTGTTACTATGTACGTTATCTAACATATTGCTTGAGCATAATACAAGTCTCTGAGTGTACTTCACAATGAAAGGCTTTTTGCATAGGAACATTCCTAGCACCATAGCAATTGCAGTCGGCTGTAGTGGTTATTGAGCCAGGAGTGCCCTGACACCTTCAGAGAGTTACCCATCAGACCATTTTAGAATGGGTTGACAAATTACCTGGGTTCCTCAGGTGCCCACACCAGGTGCTTTCATTGAGCTGAAACAAGCCCTATATAGGACTGTGCTCATTGGCTGAGAGCACTCAGCAAAGATTTGCAGCCCTGCATAGCTCAGTAGAGCTAACCTGATTTTCCTGTAAGGAGAATCTGGATGTAGAGCTGTAGGCATAGGCACTACCAGATAAACTGTCAAACCATTGTAGGAAAGTTTGACAAACTATTCTGGGATAGCGCAAGTGCACGGTGTAAACCCCAGCACTCTTCACACACTTTAAAATTTAAAGATCAATACAAGTCCTACAAGAAACTTTGCCATGTTGCCACCCAAAACAAGTGTCAATCTTTAAACAAATAATGCATACATATACTGATATGACAAAGTTAATTCATATGAAATTTCAAAACCTCTCTTGTATATTATGGGGTTTATTCACTAATCATTTAAATTTAATAAGATAATTGCACATTTGAAACAAACATAGTTGAACTGGAAAAACCTCATAGCTATTTATGGTATACGGTTTGCAATCCTCTGTTATCTTTATAGCTATAACCCCAGTGTGTAAAACACATTTCCAGGACAGACTGTTGAGCAGTCATTATGTAGTTTTAAATATCTTTCGTACCTCTGCTTCCATTTGATATGTGTTTGATAGTTTTCTAAATTCTTTAGTAATGTTTACATTTTCTTCCTATGGGAGAAAAACATAATTAAAAAAAAATGTATACATAACTTTTTGATTTTCCAGGATTTCTTTTATCTGAACTCCTTTATTGCAATAAAACTGCAACAACACCTTAAATCACACATGGACTCTAAACAAACCTGGGTTGCTTAAATTATTGAGCGTGGTAAGTGGTGGTACCGCAAATTACTCCCAAATTGCTACTAGACTTGTACACAAAGCACCTTCAGCTATCTTAAACAAATTGAATGCCTGTTAATTAGTGTTAACAGGTAAAATAGTAGACAAATCCTTTTTTAATTTGGACAAACATCAAATTCGCTCAAATTAAATCGACCATTCGGTCACCATTGCCTGTGGAGTCTTGTTCATTGAATGGATGGGTCAACTGGTCTTGTAGTAAATTAAGATTTAATTAGTTTGTCCATGCTGAAAGGGATTTGTGCACAAAATTGTAAAATAGTTCATAATTTGATGTGGCAAAGGCTTCCTGCACTTAAAATTTGAATGAAGGACAACGCTAATTCTATATTAGGTTGGAAATGTACCATTTGAATGCAAATGATAAAACCTTTGCGGAGTTAAAGCACCACTATAGTGCCAGGAAAACATACTTGTTTTCCTGGCACTATAGTGCCCTGAGGGTGCCCCCACCCTCAGGGACCCCCTCCCGCCCGGCTCTGGAAGGGAGAAAGGGGTTTAAACTTACCTTTTTCCAGCGCTGGGCGGAGAGCTCTCCTCCTTCTCTCGTCCTCCGTTCCGCCCCGTCCCGTCCCGTCGGCTGAATGCGCACGCGCGGCAAGAGCTGCGCGCGCATTCAGCCGGTCGCATAGGAAAGCATTTACAATGCTTTCCTATGGACGCTGGCGTGCTCTCACTGTGAAAATCACAGTGAGAAACACGCAAGCGCCTCTAGTGGCTGTCAATGAGACAGCCACTAGAGGATTAGGGGGAAGGCTTAACCCATTCATAAACATAGCAGTTTCTCTGAAACTGCTATGTTTATAAAAAAAAAATGGGTTAACCCTAGAAGGACCAGGCACCCAGACCACTTCATTAAGCTGAAGTGGTCTGGGTGCCTAGAGTGGTCCTTTAATCACTCCTATTTACATTTTTACATCCCCCATAGACTATAGCTCGGTGGCTATGGTTTGGCAGCTCAATGGTTATGGTGCACCCCCTCCCTCCAGCACTGTCTCCTAGTTTCCCTCCCCATGACCCGTATTACTGACTGCTTCCATACCATGACCCCGCTTTGCCGCAGACACTGCTCGATGTACTCAAGCCTTCTCTGGACGCTGCCCTTGGCCTCGGCTGCTGCCGCTTTGGTGCTGCTGAGATGGAAGGACACTCGGGCCCGGTCCGGGGCAGCGCTCAGCTCGGAGTAGCCGCTCACATGGACCTCCCGCCCCCCTCTCTGCCCCAGCACGACCCCCGCCTTGTTCTCCACGTTATCAGCAGTTTCGCTCAGTGGCAAAGAGGCGAAAAGTCGTGCGGCCGGTGTCTGGGACGCCATGTCTAAGCAATCACTATGGTAACCGAAGAGGCGTCCAACACCCCGGCCGCACGCAGTTCTAAACACTAGAGCTAATGCTAAATAGTCTGCCCCACTGAACCCAGGAGCGCCATCTTGCTGGAGGTACAGCAATGTGGATGCTGCCCATAGCCTGCAAACTGTGTGTGACAAGTGTAGACACAGAGCTATGGTGGATACAGTGTCTGGCTGTCTTACAACCGAATGGGCTCAAAGGGGAGCAGGGGGGAGGGAGGGAGACTGTAACTGGTGAAAAGACAGACACAACATTTTACTTTTATAAACTTAATGAAGTCTCTGTTAAAGCTATATGTCACCAAAGTCTTGTATATATTTAGTGTATATTTATTGATACATAGTCATGCGACTTGATATAGTTTGCCACTGACACTAGGCAAATAAATACTTTTTTTTTTTTTTATTGTGACTTATGCATCTCCTAACGTTATAGATCAGGGGTAGGCAACCTCCGGCACTCAAGGCTGCTAGAGCCAAACAGGCTCTGGTCTATCAGGAGTCCCAGTAAAACGTCAGATATCTGCTAATACGAAAAGATGGTGAAGGACAATCCTCAACTTATGCATTGCAGCACATAGAGTTAGTGATCTCAGATAATTTCCTCCCAGCACTTGTGAATGGGAATCCACAACGTAGTAGAGCAGCCCGCAGCTGTTGTTGCAGCTCCTGTCTTTGACCTGTACCAGGCCAGCCAGGTCCCCACTGGAACCCAGGGAAGCCAACCACACTGCTAGATATACGCAGATATTGTGGATCAAACAAAGTTTTTATCTGAGTTTCTGCTCCTTTCCAAATTGTTAAAATAAATGCGTGCACGCTTTGAAGTAAATTACACTGAGACACAGGTATCAGGTTAGTGAAAAACTTCGGAATGTTTACTCAGGGGCGGCAGGGCCCTCATAAAGGCAAAAATACATCATATGCAAAAATGTAGATAACAGAGAGAATACATCTTTAATTGGTTAGGTGTTAAGTGTCTTATCTAATGCACATCCTACGAGGCGTGGTGTCACTATCATCCCGGGATTTTACTCCGGATGTAGGCGCCATCTTGTTACACGAGGTAGTTAGTCGGTGGGAGGGGGTGCTCTAGCAGCCATTTTGAGTAGATATTGAATACAGGTATACACAGTAAATAGACATTTTTACTATCACTAATTTACATTCATAACACAGAAATGAAGAATAACCCTCCCCTTATACAAATAATACGAACAGCCCACACACAAACATACACACAATCTGCACAAACGTAACCCGCTAACAATCCACATACATGCACACAACCCCACATGCAGCCTCTCGCATGCAATACCCCAAACAGCCCACACACACTACCAAACACACAATGTGACATATCCATCCACACACAATTCCACAAGCAGCCCTCATACACAGCCCACATTCATATGTATCATACACGATACCATAAACTACTAATGAACATATACAATATAATAGCTTATATACGCACAAATACAATGATCCAAAGCAACTGCAGCAAAAATAACACAAGCTGAATACGGCAGCATACACACCTCAATTTAAAAAAAATAGGACCGGCACGCTACGGGACATCACAATCCTATATCGGCACAGTGCTGCTAAAAGGTTGCCTACGCCTGTTATAGATCATTAGGGTTGCCACCTTTCTTGGGAAAAAGAACAAAACGGCCATAGTAATTTGCATAATAATTATGCATGCGTGACATCACAAGATGTAAATCACAAGAAGCAGGGCTGCCATCAGAAATGTTGGGGCCCCTGACACAGCTCAAGGTCTGGGCCCCCCGGTGCCTGCACCCGAGTCCGCCCAAAGTGCTGCCCCTCCCCAAAATCCGCCCACAGGGATGCAGTGTCTGCAGGACCGGTGCAAGGATTTTTGCCACCCTAGGCAAAAGTAAAGTTTGCCGCCCCCCCATGTGACATCACAATGCCCCACCCATATGATCTGCCATGTTAACTAACACCAGTGCTGCGGTGTTTGCATTAAAAGGCATGCAGGGACAGGCTAGACACCAGAACCACTACATTAAGCTGCAGTGGTTCTGGGGACTATAGTGTCCCTTTAATGTGAGGTAAATTAGAGATTAGTGCCACGAATAATATATTAGATTGCCTACTTACAACCAGATGAGGATGATGATGGGCTCTGGCTGCCGTCTGGCTCCACTGGTCTGGTGTACAACAGGCTCTCTGGAGGCGGTTTGTAACTGTGGTCACAAAAATCACTGTTCTGGGAGAACGGGAAGCAGCTCCATTTTTTTTGAGGGCCTTTTACACAGCTCAAGATCTGGGTCCCAGGGTCCACCTTCATGTTCCACCAATGAGTTTGTTCACAGGGAGTGGAGTGTGTGTGTGGGGGATGTCCTGATGTGTGTAAGGAATGCATTGTGTGAATCTGTGTTTGTATGTGTAAGGGCTGCAAGATGAGTTTGTGTATGTATGGGATGCAGTGTGTGCGTCTGTAAGGGATGCATTGAGCGTGTGTAAGGGGTGCATTGAGTGTTGCTGTGTGTAAGGGGTGCATTGCTTGTGTACGTGTGTCTGTGTGTAATGCATTGTGTGTTTTTCTGTGTGCAAGGTGTGCATTGTGTGTGATGGATGTCAATCTCTCCCCCTCCCCCCGTCAATTTCCTTCTCCCCTCCCTCCCTCTCTCCAATTTCCTTCTTCTCCCCCTCCCTCCCTCTCTCCAATTTCCTTCTTCCCCCCTCCAATTTCCTTCTTCTCCCTCTCATTTCCTTCTCTCCCCCCTCCAATTTCCTTCCTCTCCCCTCCAATTTCCTTCCCCTCCTCCCGTCCCTCAAATTTCCTTCCTCTCCCTGTCCCTCAAATTTCCTTCCTCTCCCCCATCCCTCAAATTTCCTTCCTCTCTCCCTGCCTCAAATTTCATTCCTCTCTCCCTCCCTCAAATTTCCTTCCTCTCCCCCTCCCTCAAATTTCCTTCCTCTCCCCCCTCCCTCAAATTTAATTCCTTTCCCCCTTCCTTTCCCCCCCCTCCTCCCCTCAAATTTAATTCCTCTCCTCCCTCAAATTTCATTCCTGTCCCCTCCCCTCGAATTTCATTCCTGCCCCAAATTGATTTCTTCCCTCCCTCAAATTTCATTCCTCCCCCATTTCATTCTTTCCCCTCCCATTTCATTCCTCCTCCCTCTCCATCTCCCATTTCATTCTCCCCCCTTCCCATTTCATTCCTTCCCACCTCCCTTTCCCTCCCTCCCATCTCCCATTTCATTCCTCACCCCCAATCCTTCTCCCCTCCCATTTCATTCCTTCTCCCCCCCTCCCATTTCATTCCTTCTCCACCCCTCCCATCTCCCATTTCATTCCTCCCCCCACCTGACACTGGCGGCGGGCGGGCCAGCGCGCGAGGGAGCACTCTCTGTGTGCTTCCTCTTCAGCTCCCTCGCGCACCGTACTGATGCCGGAGCCGGAAGGTGACGTACCCTGCGACCCGGTATGTACCCACTGAATCTGGGGCCCGGACGACCTGAGCAGTCCGGGCCCCCCAGGACCGCCGGGCCCATGACAACCGTTGCGGTTGTCATGCCCTGATGGTGGCCCTGACAAGAAGTGAAAAAACTACTTGCAGTTTGCATCTGCTCTATAGTGATTGCTCCCACTGTCTCCCTGTCTCACAGGGCAGTGTCCTCATGTCTCCCAGTGTTTCCATGTCCCCTAATTATCCCAGTGGCAGTGCCCCCTAGTGTCTCAGTGTCCCTATATATCCTAGTGTCCCCATGTCTCCTAGTGTCCCCTAGTGTCTCTATATATCCTTTTGTCCCCTAGTGTCCCTAGTGGTGTCCCCACGTCTCTCAGTATTCCCTAGTGCAGGAATAGGCAACCTTCAGCACTCCAAATGTTGTGGACTACATCTCCCATAATGCTGGCAAACATCATGGGAGGTATAGTCCAAAACATCTGCATTGCCGAAGGTTGCTTATGCCTGCCCTAGTGTCTCAATGACCCCATGTCTCCCAGTGTCTCAGTGTCCCCATGTCTCCCAGTGTCTCAGTGTCCCCATGTCTCCTAGTGTCCACCCTAGTTTCTCCATGTCTCTCCTAGTGTATCTGTCCTCATGTCTCCCCTGGTGTATCAGGGTCCCCTAGTTACCCCATGTCTCCCCTAGTGTTTCAGTATCCTCATGTGTCCCCTAGTGTCTGTGTCCCCATGTCGCTGTGTCACCCAGGATCTCCCAGTGTCCCTATGTTTCTGTGTGTCTCCCAGGATCCCCCAGTGTCCCAATGTTTCTGTGTCTCCCAGGATCCCACAGTGTCCCTATGTCTGTGTGTCTCCCAGGATCCCACTGTTAAGGATGGCCCTTCCATTTGTTTCCCCCCATCTCTGTTACCTGAGCTGCTCCCCCGTGAATCGGTGAGTAGAGAGAGGCAGGCATATGCAGTAACATCCTATCCCTGTCTCTCCACGCACACAGTAACCTCTACTGGCCGGTGCCGGTAATTTATCTAATCACAGTTTATACTGAGAAAAATACCGGCATTTGTATTGCACTTCCTTATTCAGTATGCATGATGCTATTCCCGTTGAGTTGCTCAGAGGTAAAACACAGTGATTATAGCAATCCCCAGAGTGTAGTGCTCCAATTCGATTACAGAGACAGGTGGGGTCAGACAATAGCAAGGGCTGATGGGAAATTGAGGAGGGACAAAGCAGCTAGTTTAAGCTGGTCTGGCAGTGTCCCTGGGACAATGCCCTGCTGGGGAAACAATAGGACAGGAAAAAGGGGGAGGGGGAGAGGCACAGACAAGCAATATATTCAACATACTCTTCTCTGTGTCTGAGAGATAATTGAGACAGGAACTGTACACACTCAATTACCTACAGATACAGAAAAACACACAATTTACAAACACCCCAATTCAGATCCATGGAAACCCCACAAGAGTCACATCCTTGGATAGCCCTGATCTGAATGACCAACATATCCAAAAATCACCCAGATCAGTTCAGTGGTTTGGTTTTTCCATGGAAGTCACTTTTTAACATGTCTTTTTGTAGAGCCCATAGTCTTTGGGAAGGAGGCTAGCCAGCAGGCCCCTCCA